TTTTTTTTCTTTTAACAAAATACAGCAGCCATTTTTGTGCCTCCCTATCTCCGACTAGTTAGCTTAGCATCTAAGGCTTAAAAAACGACCCTTCATACTCGTCTGATAACTATTTCTTGCAAAAAAAAAATAAATACTTACCTAAATAAATTATTGCACAGTGTCCAACAGCAACCGAAACAGCCCAATAATTTGCAAGAAACTAAAGCAGCTCTGAAGCAGGTAATCCCACCCAGGCTACTTAGCAGCTACATCGACCAGCTAACTGTAGCCTCTCCGCGAGCTACATAAACAAGTAAGAACCTGAGGAATCCGCTGATATGAGACGTTTTCCTAACTAAATACAATCGCCGGTTTTGTAGTCCTTATGTTATAAACAATTGGAGAGATTGACACAGAAAAAGGCAAAGTACGCAAAGGAGGAAAATCAAGTGTGACTAAAGGCGAACGCTTCGTTTAAACGCAGGCTGTTTGATTTCAAACGTCCCTCTATTCAAAACCTTTAAACGAGACAGAGGCGTCTGATTGGCTCCGGGCCTGCTGTATGGTTGATTTCTATTGGCTGAGAAAGCGTGAACAAGGAGTGGAGCGTGACGTAAGGATTTTAAATAATTCCTCTAAACACTAGAGGGCGATGTAGTGAAACTTGATTAAACTCTCAGGAAAACCATTCATAAAAGCTCAAATTTCCTTTAGTCGATGATTAATAACAAACTCTTGCTAGTGTTTGAATATACAGACAAAATCAATTTAGACGATTTTTGTAGTTGAAAATAAATCCAACTGACTATTAAGTTTTCAATAAAAAAATAAATATATATTCCAACATATTTCAAATTAATTAATCGAAATTACTAATCAAAAGCCAACAGCACAAAAAAAAAAAACATGGCAGAGTTTACATTTTTAAAGGCAGCATAGTTCAAGTAGATTTTTTTTAGGTTTGGGACTTTGATTTAAATATTTTTGGGGGGTTTTCTACTTGATGGTAAATCAGCTAGAGAACCTGATTTGACTTAAGATGTAGTTTGTTTCGAATATAGGAATTTTGACATTACCAAATGAGAATAAAAGAAGCAGATTAATTTTATTTTTACTGGTTTGTAAATCATCCTCTTCGGGGGGGTTTTTAAGAGAGCATTGGGCTACAAACACCAATGGCACCAAGAGGGCATTTCAGGGTCTTGTTTAGGGAGCTTGAGATTTAGACTGAGTTTCACACCAGAGACCTTTGTGGTATCTTGAGAAAGCAAATGCTTGGCTAGACTAGAATGCCAATTTACCCACTTATGACATAATTATGTCCCTTACTTCTCGTAATTTATGAATAACTTGTAGTGTTTTAAACCAGAAATAAGCAAGAGCTTCTGTTCTTCAGAAAGTACAGCAGAATTTCATTTAAGCACATCTTATTATAGAATAGAATAGAATAGAATAGAATAGAATAGAATAGAATAGAATAGAATAGAATAGAATAGAATAGAAAATCCCTTTGTTGTCCAACAATGTTGGAATTCTGGTGTTTACAGCAACAAAAAGATTATAGAAAAAATTGTCTCACAAATGTGGACCTTAGAAAAATTTATGAGAATAACATAATAATGAATAGTTAAAAGATAAATCATAAAAAACTGGACTGTAAAGTGTTTTAACCGTATAAAACTGTGCCCCTGGAGAATAAATAACCAATATACAGCTATGGCAATTTTTACAGTAATGGATATTTAAAAATTGCAGCAACATCAGAGATGTACAAAATAACAGCAGCAGGTTATTTAACTGACTAACATAGAAACTGTGCAAAATCAACATGAATGTAAAAACTAATTGAGGTTGTTGGGAACAGCAGCAGTTTATATTTTAGTTTATATTTTTATTAGAAATTTATATTTTATTAGGAGCAGTTTATATTGTTAGAATATAAATATATATAAAAAAAAACTCAGCGTCTCTGTTAGCAGAACTCTAACCAATTTAGCTTTAACTTAAATATCTAAGTATTAAAAACTCCCTGAATAATCTTAAAGATTGCAAATCGCTTGTTTTTTTTAACCAACTTCAATTATTTTCCTTGATTTTCATACTATTTCTAATAGTTTTTATTTGTGAAATATAAACCGGCCTTTTTTTGTTTTCTCTTTTGCGTGTTTGTTTTTTATTTTTTTTTTTACAAAGACAGGGTTTAAACATGGAGACAGGGCCAAATTTATGATCTAAGGAGAAAATTAAGATATTTTTAGTGGTAGGTCAGTCAATCATCCCTAGCAGGAAGCTTAAACAATTAAATGTATAGACAAAAAAATAAATAAATAAGATAAAGGAATCATAGTGTTAAAAACTGAAAGGATAGCAAATTCTGAGGAATTTGAGGGCACTAGGTGGGGCTGATTGAAAGAAATCTAGACAATGATTGAAATAGTCGGCAACTAATTTAGTAAGGGGCTAATAGTAAACAGACATATAAAAAATTTGCATTTAGGATAAAAATATATTTGCTATTAAATGTGCTCTACATAAAACTACTCAAGTGGATTAGGTTTAGACATAGCTGGTTCAACTTCTGAAAAAAAAAATCCCATAAGTACTTTCACTACTATACTTTGCTGTCAAAATATTTTATTTTGAAACAAAATCCACAGATCAGCAAAATCATTTTTTGTTGCTGCTCTTCTTGTAAAATAATCCATCAGACTGAGGAAAAGTGTTCATTATGTTCTTATCCAATACATTGCAGAAGTAGACCGCATACCTTGCTTTTAATCAACCATCCTTTTTTTAGGGAATTTGTGCTGCATTTATCCTGTTTAGAGAAGAACTGGAAAGCTATACAATGCCTTGATTCAGAAAGTGATTGATAATAGCTAGACTTAGACAAACTTTATTTTCATTTTATATACACAGAGTGTATACAAAACAAATAGCTAGATCGTGCTGTTTAGCAGATATTTTCACTCAGTTGTACTGCAGATTATTTTTTTCTTAATTTGAAATTATCTTTAGTTTTCAGTTGATTTTTCTTATATGTTTTTCCCATAGTTTTACAGAAGGTTACAAAATTGTTCTAATGTAGCCTATAGCCCTAATTTTTATATATATAAAAAATTGAGGCTAATAAACAATCTAGATGACTTTACTGTAAACCTTCGTGAAAAAAAAAATGCCCCTTTTTTGCCATTCAAAGAAATCGCAAATATTACAGCAGAATAAACTCATATTTTTAATTATGATATTGAACTGTTCTGGCCTTAGATTGGGTTGCAGTTTCCGACTTCTACCACTAGGACGCAGTATACAGTCCTAAGAAGAAGATGGCATCATATTTCCAGGAAATCTATTTCTCCAAATTCTTACAAATTTACAAAGTTCTTACTTTACTGTGATACATTTTTAAACGACTTTACTTTATATAGAAGCAGTGATAAACTGTTACAACTGGAGAACATAGATTAGTAATAAATTGCAAAGTTTCCCATAAACTGGCATAATTCCATAAATGAAACGTTCAAGGAAAACGAACAAGTATCTTTTATATTTTTGTTTTTTTACTCATTTAGAATTAAAGTCAAATATTTGAAGATTTCCTAAATCAAAAAAAAAAAAAAAAAAAAAAAAAAAAAAATCACAAGGTACTGGTCAGTAATCTAGAATCATGAAATTATAATTTCCTTCAGTAGTTTCATTGGAATTTTTATTCATCACAAGCTGTGTGATATTTACTTTCTTGAATATAGATGTTTATGTCAGCTAATGAAAAAGACATTACGCCTCTGAGGAAATTGCTAAATCAGAATAAAATTAATAAAAATATTACAAAAGTAAAGGAAGACCATGCACTGTGTCCATCCAGTAAATGGCCAGGGCTTCTTTTGCATGAATTACTGCAGTTGTGCAGAGTGGCCTGGGGGTGATCCCTGGGTCTGCTGGGCTGCTAATGGTTAGGGCTTAGAGCTTGGAATCCTGAGGTTGTAAGTTTGAGCCCCACTCCCACAGACTGCCACTCTGGGTCTCTGAGCAAAAGACCCTAAACCCCCACTCTGCTCCCCAGGCGCCCCATGATGGCAGCCCACTGCTCCCTAAGGGGATGGGTCAAATGCAGAGGTAAATATCTCCAATGGGAGCTCAATAAAGTTCAATTAACAGACTTTTGCTTTGTATTACATCCTAGAATGAAGCCTTACTGTGCATTGTTGGGTCTGGTTGTATCTCCTCTCCCTCCTCCTAATATTCAATATATTAATTAAGGGGCAAAATAAGCAAGTACCATACCCTGTTGCAAAATACATCAAGTGGTATAACCCAGCTCCCTAAACCATTACTGATTATGCCAACTTCAGATTTATCTTTTTAGACTTTCCAGAAAAACCAATTTGCAATTTCCTCATTAGCCCACAAAAGATGCTGATCTCTATGTTTGACAAGGAATGCGAGAGCTGTAGCCAACATCTTTGTGGTAGAACCTAGATTTATCTTAATTCATCAATACTTTGGTTACCGCAATTCGTTGTGCAATTTCCCTTCCGCTCAACTTTCCTTTAAAAAAAATATTAGGTCATCGTCAGTATTTTCACCATTGACAATAGGCTACTTGCTGTCCTGCAAAGAATGTCAGTACCTGTTGAATTAGCAATAATCACACTGTAAGCCATAATGGTACTTTTCTCCATTTACTGTTATTTCTTTAACTTTTCAGTTTTGTATGAAATCCAGTTTTGTTTTCTAGCTATATACCATCATCAAAATAAACAGATAAAAATACTACACCCATTTACAATTATCTAAATGGTGATATTCTAATCCACCAAGATGCGCATGTACAAATGTGAAAATCATTATTTCATGTTTACAATGGCACTGTTTTGCACATTTTAAGCTACATCGGCCTGTTTAAGAATATCAACTTAAAGGGTTTACACCAAACTACATACTACATTTTAAGCCAACATTCTGGTTTAATGCATTAATTTTCCACTCATTTGGGCACAAAGTCAACAAGAACAAACTAAAGTTTAAAGAATGTATATTTTTAATAGTCAAAAACCCACAAATATTTAAAAACAAACACAAATAAATAAATTTAGTAACAGTTTAAAATATACATAAAAAGTTGTGAGAGAAGACCCTTTTAGATACACTTCACAATGTACTGGAAAGCGCCTTTCCACCAAGAGAAAAGCATAAATATGGCAAGTTTGATCCCTTCATTAAATTCTTAAATACAGTTTAGAATCAGGTCTGCACGTTTCCTAGTACAGAGTCCAAGTATTGCTGCGGTCCCATAGGGAACTATAGAGAAAGTTTCAAACTATGAAACTTTGACCTACTTGTTTGTTCCTACCTTCATTCACAAATAACATTTTAACGCTGGGTTAACTCGTAGTTTTCTGCCATCACAAATCATTAGTAGTTAAACCCTCCTCTGAATGTGAATAAAAACTCTTTACAATCCAGTTGAACCCTGCAGACTAAATGACATTCAGGCGTCTGCTGAAAAAATATCAAAGCACAGCTGGCAGAGGCGTTTGTGTGCGAGAGGCTGGACAAAAAGCAATGTCTGCTTTGGCACTTTTTTCTTGGTTTCTGGTTCAGTTACTGCCTGCTATGCCAGTGGAGTTTAAACCCTTCCCTGAGTGTGCCACACGCTCCTCCAGCTGATGCCCGTTGGTGGCGGTGCTGCCCTGGAAACGTTCAGCAATCCTTTATGCTGGAGTCCGCCGCTTTAAATACATCAGATGTAGACAGTAGAGTTTACAAGTGTACCCTAGAAACAATGCAGAAAACCCAGAGCACCAATACGGCACCGGAGCATCATAAAGGAAGGCTGGGAATCTTGATTTATAGTCTCTAAACTAATGAGGTAGTCATTTGTCTGTGACTGCAGCCGCCATTGGAGTTCGGATGGTTCCTCGCGCTGTGGCTGCCAGCTCCTCGATCTCTGCATTCAGCCGTCTGATCACCCACTCCATGGCTTCACGACCCTGGTCAAGGAAGAACAAACATCATTGTAATATTTAAAGAAAATTCACATTAGCAAGATATGTTTGTCTCTGTGTTGATAGCTGTTGCCCTTTTTTTTTTTTTTAAATGTACAAGAGTTGATACGCAAACAAAGAAAATATTCTGACTGTGCTCACATTCTTTAGATAACTAGGTACACAGTGAAACCTTACAGATTCCTTTTGGTTTAAGTCATTGTTGTTGGAAATGCAATGCACGCAAGACTTTTCACAACGGCTGCCTGTTATATTGCCACTGAGAAAAGAGACATTTCCATTTGTAATTATTGCATTTTATTCATTATGACCCGATTTGAACACAGGGTTTAAACAGCCAAAAGAATTGTATTTTAAGTTTTGTTTTCCATTTATGGTGAAATGTAGGCACTGTTGTAGAAAAAAAAAGAAAAAAAAATGTATGCCCTTTCAGTTTTTTTAATATCAGCCTAAAATATTTTATAGGAACTTGTAGCGATCTATGGAAATAATATGCCTAAATCCAATCCCACTAGAACACTTTGTAAAAAAAAAAAAAAAATAGGACTTCTCTATTCTGCCAAACAGAAGAGTAAACACAAATAAAAGCTGCGTTTTACCTTTCCAGCATTGGAGGAGATTGTGTTTGCCATGACACCTTCCAGGTAACTACTGAGACTGACCCCTTTCACTGAGATGATAGCTTCTTGAGTCAGTATTGTCCTAGAAAATAATGACAGATTTAATAAAAAGTGGCTAATCACAGATGACTGAAAAAGAAAATATTTAAAGTAACACTATTTGGACAAATACCTTTCTGGATCTTCAGGGTGTGGTTTGTAGGTTAACTTTTCATCCACAGACACCATGTTTGTGAAGGTGATCTGAAGAGAAAACATAATGGGTTATTTCCACATCTGCACCTGACAAAGAGCCCGTTAACAATCCTACTCAGCTTGTAAAACAAGCACATCTTCATTCTGAGAACCATTAACTAGCCTGAGCTCAAACGTGGAATTAAAAGGAGGTCACAGAAACTCTACCTAAACTTGGCGTGTCTGCATAGGGTTGTAATATTCCACACACAGCTTGTTTTGCCAGTATGACTTGTGCAAAGACCATCATTCATCTAGCTACAATATTCCTGTAACTGAAGGTTTTAAAGAGAAATGGGACAAAAAACAACAAATAAAGCAGGCATAAACTCCCAACATGATGTTCAATGGCTGTGGAAGACATGAAAATCCTAAACTCTAGTAAAAGTCTAGACATGCATTAAGAAAGGGGAGCTCCCACCACTCACATTTGAGGATTGAAGTTCAAACGTTCTCTCTTTGGGATCCACAACGGAGCTCTCCTGAATGTAGGTGCAGCTCCGTACGTTTCCAATGAGCTAAAAGAAAGAGGCAGACATTAACAACTAGCATAAAAATAGGACAGTATCACACAAACACTTATTCAGTTCTTATTTAGACGTAAATCTTCATCTTTGAAAGTTTCCTCTTCAGTAAAGCTTTTTTGTTTTTTGGAAGTTATAGTAAATACAGCTTTTGCACGGAAAAAAAAATCTCTCATTTGCTAAAGAGCGAAGGGATTTTAAATCAAAGCCAAATAGAACCTTTATAAAAACCCAAGATACAACATGAAATATCTTGTCTATTCATGCACAAAGCACGAGTGTTTTACTGACTAAATGGAGTGTTAATAAGTTGTCAGTGGCAGAGTCTAGGTGTCTTACTTAAATTGAAATAGTTAGAATGGACCAGTTTTAAAAATTCAAGCGGCATATAAAATGGTTGCTATAAAATGCTGACATAAGACAATGCGAGTCAGACAGAACTGCCCCATATCAGTTTTCTGCAACCTCATCACTCCAGAGTTCAGTAAGTCAGGGCTACCTTAGGGAAGGGTTCAAATTACAAGTTGTGCAACTGCAGAGGGCTTCGTCATTGCACCGCTTTCAAGTCACCTCTGCTTCTGACCGAGCTGACGGAAAGTTACATCACATGGTGTCAGGGATCACATCTGAGCAATGATGGATATGGGACCACTGTGTCCTGTACAACACGGGCTGTGGCACACAGCCATGAACCCGGAGCCCATGCCTGGTACTATAACTGGACAGAAATAGCCTTAACTGTTCAGGTCAGACTTGCAGCATGGAAAGTTAGTCATGTGAGGATGCATTTGGATTAATGTATTTAGTTTTAACACTAGATTTAATGTCGAACTTTTTTCTTTTTTTTACCGCAGTCAACACTTATGAGTTAAAAGTTTTGACACTCACAGATTTCACAATGGATGGCAGACCCCACTCTGTGCTGAGCAGCCTTGTACTTCGGAGGCGGCCCTGTTGGTCGACGTTTCGCTCCAGAACATCCACTCCAACTACGCTGGGATTCATAGGATTGGGATATTTCTGCATAGCAGCCTTCGTCACCATCTCCCAAGGATGGCTGTGGATAGTAATCATAAATACTATTACCAACTATAGTCATTTGCAAATAGACAGCTTAACAGAATGAGCCATACAATCAAAAGCTTAATGAAATATTATCAATAGATTTAAGTAAAATACATCCAAAATGGTTGGATTCAAAATGTCAAGACGGATTTTGGCATTTGAACTGGAGGGAACTAGGATTTAAATGAGCAACCTTTAGACTTAAAACGACCTTTAACAGCATTGAAACCATTTCCTTTTTATAGCACACTTATTCTCAAAGTTAAATAGTAAAACACTAAAGAAAAACTATGGATCATATTGAAGCATCAAAAGTACAGGGCCCCAACTTAAAAACTAAATTAGATTCATGGATTGGATCCAATTTAAGGGAATTATTACTATAATTTCATTTATTTTACTTTTAGTAATTCATGTATTCCAGACAAACTTTCCTAGAGGATGTTATGATTTTTAAAGACAAAGGCACTTAAAATAACAAATTAGTTTCTTCTTTAAGATTTAGGAAATACGAATTATAGGAATAAAGTATTAAGACAGATATGAATAAATCAAACCCTGTTTGAAAAAAAAAAAATTCATTTCGTCACGAAAAAATGTTTCAAATGAGAGCTTTGGGTAGAGCAGTGTTGATATGGTAGTGTTGAACGGTTTCCATGGCGACACGTGAACACGCCGGTGAGTGACGTAAGAAGCTACGGAAACACGTACGGAAGAATGTAGGCGAAAGGTTAAACACCGCAGCTCACCGGTCCGGGCGGCGAATTACATAAGGTTAAAAAAAAAGCAGAGATCAGTCAATGACAGCGGACTGTGGTCAATTCTTTTTTTTTTCCCTTAGCTGCTAAGTTTTATAGAATTTTTCAATTACTCCCCCATCCTTAAAAAAAAGAAAAAAATCAGTATCTACAAGAAGCAATATAACTGAATTCTTACAAAACAATCCTACTACGTAAGGGTTCTCGCCTTTATAGGCATATAATCACACAATTTAAATGAAAATCAAGGTTAATCAAACCTGTCCCCCGCTCTAGGAAGCTTGAAACAATCGTTTCAACGCTCTGTCTGTGTGGATAAAATCGGTGCTTACTTGAATATGTGTTCTGAGGTCCAGATCTTCATGATTTAATGAAGTGAGCAGCAAAGAGGTAGAAGCTCGACGTGAAGCAAAGCAGGAGTCTGAAGCGTGAATGAACCGCCGGCGGAAAGACGTTCACGCCGAGAAATGAGTGACACAGAAACCCCTCCTCTCTTCTCAGCGCGGTCACGTGACAAGATCAGGCACTTCCGCTTTTTTATTCTACGTCAGTGGACCCCGTGATGCAAAAGAAAACTCTTCAAAAATATGTATATAACACATAAAGTAGGCCTAAATCAAATTCTCATTGCCACGCATAGAATAATATTAATTATCGGAGGGTTAATGCGTTTTTTTTTAACGTTTTCTGTCTCCAGCTTCAGGCAGCAATCATTTTCACCTTGGATGTTACACAATTCAGCTCAATGATAATTGCAGAATATTATCAGCTGGTGCACATGTCAATTAAATGTTTATTGAAAAATGGAATGCATATCAAAATCAGTCTGTCCATCGAATATGATCTTTAAAAACTATTATGGATTTCATTTACTAATGTGCTATATATTTTCATAAAGTATTTCTGATTGTTTATATGTTCTAATCACGTGGTCTGATTTGAAGATGTAGAAGGAAGATGAAAGAAAATGCGTTTCTGTTCATTTTTGACACGTTTTAAAATTACCCAATCTTATAACGATCAATTTAAGAAAAGTGACATCTGTCAGGTATTATTATGTTACCATTAACAAGAGAAATAAATAACAATGATTACTTTCTCATCATAACATTTCTTATAGGGAATGGGTAATATAAGGGGAAACATTTTACCCTAAAAACTTATTTGTTTGAAGCAAGAAAATGGGCAATCAACAAAAAAATTAGAGCAGGTGTTATGAGGACCAAATTGTGGTGTGTAGATGACTGGATCAGAGCATCTCCAAACCTCCAGCTGTTGTGGTGTGTTCCCAGTTTGTAGTGGTTCGATAGTCTCTATCAAATGTTGTGTAATGAATGAAAACTGCATAACGTTTGGCAGGGTTCATTAAATAAAGTGGTAGATGGTCATAATCTAGCAGGACTACTCTAACTCAGATTTCAGATAAAGTCAAGGCTGTATATGATAGAGCATTGTGTCATAGTTGGATGTATATGAGCCTGCGTTGCTACAGACTGATCAGACTGTAAACGTAATTCCCTGTAGGCTATGGCATATTTCAGGAGGGTAATATGTCCAGAGAAAAAGCAGAAATGGTTAATGAATGGTTTGATGAGCTTTAGGCATTGACATGGGCTCAAGATTTCCCAAAGCTAAATTCAAGTGAGCATCTGTTCGATATGTAAGACTAACAAGCATGATCCAGTAGACCCCACTTAATAAATGACAGAACTTGAAGGATCTACTACCAATAACATCAGATACCACAGCACATCCCTAGAGGTCTCCCTGATTCACTGCTTCAATGAGCCAGGGCTGTTTGTCAATATAAGGGGAGTGTCGGCCTAGTGGTTAGAGCGGCGCGCTTGTGCTTTGAGAAGGTTGCAAGAACCCACTTCGATCCCTGCAGCCTGCACTCTGGGTCCCTGAGCAAGACCTTTAACCCCACACTGCTCCCCAAGGGTATGGGTTAAATGCAGAGGTAAATTTCTCCAGTGTGAGATCAATATCAATAATTATTATAATTTAGAATTTTACTAAAAGTCTATGAAGACATGAACATTTCCCCTTCAGCTATTCTGATATTTTTACTAAAGCTGTTACTAAAGTAAACATTGAAAGTTTTATTGCAAGTCTTTTTTAGACATATCTATTTCACAATATTTCTACTTTGCTTAATTGAGACCTTGTTGGCCCTACAGGAATATATTAGTCGGCATTTTAACCAATAATACACATAGGATGTAATGTTTCACAGTGCCGTACAAGAGATCAGTCAACTTTACTGCAGAGTGAAGGGACATCTCAAAGTCAGTTGTCCTTATCTTGGAGTGAACACGCTCTGTCAATGTCATGCATAATCGCAGGGCTCCAGACTTGGGCAAGTGGGAGGAAACAGTGTGACAGCCTTGAACGGTATCATGTTGGCGTGCTATCAGAGTCCTTTCCAACACTACAGTTTGGCCAGTTTTACTTCAAATTATCAAACATACTGTCAGGGGAGACATATATATATATATATATATATATATATATATATATATATATATATATATATATATATATATATATATATATATATATATATATATATATATATATATATATATATATATATATATATATATATATATATATATATATATATATATATTAGGTTTTAATGAATGTTCCTTTTTACATACACAAAAAAATATTATTTAAATATCACAAATATTTTTAAAGGTGTAGATTCGATAGAAATGCAAAAAGTATTTTTTCCTAAAGATATACAAATAAATTCATCAAATATTTCAAAGAGAAAAAAACTAATTACAATGACTGATAAAACAAAAAAAAACATGTATTGTTGCAAAAATATTTGTATTTTTACATACAGGAGTTACATAAATGCTTGATAACCTAAACAGCTTTTTTTTGATAATATCAATAATAATAATAACAACAATAAAAAGAAAAAAGAATAATAATACCAATTTTTTCTTTTAGCTGATTTCTTTCTTATAAATGCATTAACATATAATACACCCATGGAATGGAAAAAATAAAGCTGAATTAATTAGTCTGCACAAAAACACATATCAAGCTGACAGCTTTTAAGCAGTGAGCCACAGGTTTCATCTTACAATGTTAACAGGAACACAAGGACATTCATACAGACCTGGCTGGATTAAATATTTTATTTTACTGCTGTTTACTATAAACTCTAACCTTATGTGCACCTTCACTGACGTTAATCTAGATGTCACAACTCTCACTCCACAAAGAGTGAATGGACCACTTGTTATGTAATGTTTTACATTGGTTATTGTTTTATTTCACCATTGATAAATTGTCTGGATTACAGCTACCTCACTCTTCTGACATGATTTTTTACTATTTAATGGCTCAGAGCTCCCAGCATAAAGCTCCCAATAGATTATACTATACCCTCAACATTATACTAATTAGAAATTGCATATTCGAGTTTCTAAGGGTCAGTTATATGAGCCATGTCTGTGGGTGTGGTATCTTTCACTTTCAATGAGGTGTTTATGTTTCAAATATAATTTTTCATGGGTTTTATAAGAGAAGCATGATGTGCATGTGCACAGTGAGTCTAGAGTGGATGGATATGAATTCATCCTAGCTGAATTTGGTGAAGAAAAGGCATTAATCATCTTTTTAAACTCTTTTTTTTTTACTTTGATTAAAGACAATCAAAGGGTCAGCAGAGAACAAAAAGCAAAAGGTTAACATAAATTCAAATTACAAACTTACTAAGTATTAAATAAATGCAGCTAATGTATACACCCCTCTGTCATTCATCCTTCCAATGAAAATTTCCAATAGGCCTACCAGAATTTTCCTTCTGGAGAGCAGTGATGTCCTGACCTTTCTCCCTAAAGTCAATTTCTACATACAATCTGAGGCCTTCCAAAGTGTTTGGTGGGTAAATCTGTCTCATTAGTCCTGGGTCTACCCTGCGGCATCTTCTTGGCATAGAATGTATTTATTTCTATGAGCTGAAAGGTTATCCAAAAGCTAAAAAAAAGTCCTAAAACACTGCCCTCTATACAGCCTTGCTTTAATCTCATTAAGGAAACCAAAGTATTTCGGCTCAATTTGCATGTTTTCTAAGCCATAACAAGGCTTTTGTTGGGCTATTCTTTTAAACTCTGAACTCAACGCTAATCCAGACATTTTGAATAGAGAAAACTTTCTGGATGGGAAGCGAAACGTCTTCAAACTTGGAAAACAAAGTCCAGTGTTTTTTTTTTGTTGCTTTTTTAACCTTTTTTGGGATGACCTGACCTGAATGACTGAGAATCTTCATCAGCAAACCAAAGTATTAAACAGCTTAACCTACAAATATCAAAATTAGTTTACAAAGAAATGAGCTACAAGGTCTTAATTCTTTTCCCCAAAGAGTCCTTCGTTGTGAAGCTGTATTTGTCACCCACACTCCTCATCTACAGTTTCTTTAATGGTTTCAATCACTGTTTCCAGTTTGGTTTCAGTCTGAGACTGAAACTTTGTGGTCCCTGCAGATGAGGGTCCTTCCTCTTCTTCATCTTCTAGTTCCCAATCTAGATCAGCAGTTGCATCTTGGTACTGCTGGTACTCTGACACCAGGTCATTAAGGTTACTCTCTGCCTCTGTGAACTCCATCTCATCCATACCCTCTCCTGTGTACCAGTGGAGGAACGCCTTCCGTCTAAACATCAGGGAGAACTGCTCTCCCACTCGGCGGAATATCTCCTGAATGGCTGTGTTGTTGCCGATGAATGTAGAAGCCATTTTTAGACCTCGAGGAGGGATATCGCACACAGCCACCTTTACATTATGGGGGATCCATTCGACAAAGTAGGCACTGTTTTTTTGCTGTATTGCAAGCATCTGCTCATCCACCTCTTTGGTGGACATCCTGCCTCGGAAGACACCAGCCACTGTTAGGTAGCGCCCCCGCCGTGGGTCGCATGCCGTCATCATGTTTCGGGCATCAAACATCTGCTGGGTAAGTTCAGGCACAGTGAGAGCTCTGTATTGCTGGCTACCCCTTGGTGTCAGAGGGGCAAAGCCTGGCATGAAGAAGTGGAGACGGGGGAAAGGCACCATGTTGACAGCCAGCTTCCTAAGGTCAGCATTAAGTTGTCCTGGAAACCTAAGAGAGGTTGTGACCCCACTCATGGTCATAGAGACCAAGTGGTTGAGATCCCCGTAAGTTGGTGTGGTCAATTTCAGGGTACGGAAACAGATGTCATAGAGAGCCTCGTTGTCAATGCAGAAAGTCTCATCTGTGTTCTCCAAGAGCTGATGTACGGAGAGCGTGGCATTATAAGGCTCCACCACTGTGTCAGAGACTTTAGGAGAAGGCATGATGCTAAAGGTAGTCATGATCCGATCTGGGTAGTCCTCTCTGATCTTATTGATGAGTAGGGTACCCATGCCGGAGCCTGTGCCACCCCCCAGCGAGTGAACCAGCTGAAAGCCTTGGAGGCAATCGCAGCTTTCACTCTCGTTCCTCACCCGGTCCATCACCTGCTCCACTAACTCCGCACCCTCGGTGTAGTGGCCCTTTGCCCAGTTGTTTCCAGCTCCTGAGCTCCCTGCAATGCCAGATTTAAAGAAGGTAGGTTAGTTTTACCACAATAGTTAGGTGCAAATACTCAACAGTTTAGGCTTTAATTAAGGTTGTTTTTTTCGTGTAAAGTAACCTTTCCAAAAGTGAAACTGAAATGGATAATAACAATAATAATATTGTGTTTTTCTTTGATGTTTGCCTCACCATGGATGAAGTTGTCTGGTCTAAAGAGAGCACCAATGCGACTTCCTCTGACACTGTCCATAGTGCCAGGCTCCAAGTCCACAAGCAGTGCTCTTGGGACAAATTTACCACCTATAACCAAAATCAATGCATTTAAAAAAAATGATTGGAAATATACATCTCAAATCAATGTATTTCTGTGATTTAACAATAAGCCATTTACTGAAAACATAACAACAGAAAATCAGGAAATTAGGTTTTGAACAACACTGGTCAAACAGATGAATTGGTGTGGTACCATGCGCCTCATTAAAGTAGACGTTGACCCTCTCCAGTTGGAGATTGCTGTCTCCTTCATAGATACCAGTTGCATTGATCCCATGTTCTTCACTGATTACTTCCCAGAACTGCAACAAAAAGTATTGCTTTAATATGTGACTCATATAAACATATAGAAACACCAAAGCTATTTGGATGAAAAGTATTAAGAAATTAGATTTGTCCCGAATTTTTGCATGGTTCTGTTTGTGTTAAAGAATTTCAAACACAAAACAAAGACATTCTCTATTTGAGTTTTATGATTTTGTATGAGCTAGATCAGGACCAGCTTAAAAATAATAAAACTGCAGTTTAGGATTTCAGGTCATCTGACTGTTTGTAGATTACCACAAAATGTGAAAAAAAAAAAGCATATGTTGCCAATTTTTTATCATTTTGTTGTTCCCCACTCTTGTTTCGTGTTAGCTCTGATAAAAACGTCCCACCCACAGCGTTTCTGCTTTGGTTCTTATCTTTTTAAAGGGAGCTTGACAGGGAACACCCTCTGTCACTCACAATAAGTGACAGACCAAATGCAGAAGTCAAAATATTTACAAGAATAATTATACAAGAACAATTATACAGAATAGTAAATACGCATACGGTTTAGTAATAGTCCATATTGTTCTTATAAATGTCGTACTTCATCATATTCCCATACCAAATCAAGCATTTTAAATGCCAGTTATGTGGTTCATGTGAAATTATATACAGATGATATTTTTGTTAATGTTGCCTTTTTTATTACCTTTGAGCCGATCTGGTTGCCACATTGTCCAATTTGCAGATGTACAATTTCACGCATGATGATCGAAAGACAGTCCACAGAGCAGCTGAGGGTCCAAGATAGTCCTCAGTGCTCCCATCTGTCTTATATATGAGAGCAGAAATGATGTCATCAGTGACATAAGGAAGTGCACCATTTCAAAAAAAAAAAAAAAAAAAAAGTTATAGTCCAAGAACTCACAATGAAATCTTATTATTCTGCACTGTAATAGTCTTATTCATCTTGGCTACTGTAGGTTAAATGATCTTACAAGGAGCAACAGTCTTGTAGACTTTTTGTAGCCTTTTGTCTGAATTTGTTTATCTATTTAAAAAATTGTGTTTTTAATTGTTCAGCGTATGGCTACCTGCTGGCTATGTCAACTCCATAACTTGTTATTTTCTCTGGCTACATCTATGCATTTATGCAAAATATTACATTTTATAAACAAATGCTTATAAGTGTACTTTATCAGCATGGGGTTGCTTCTTAGAGAGATATTAAGGTAAAACATTTTTTTTTTTGGTTAAACTTCTCATTTTAATGTGCAGAAGAAATTATTTGCTCTTCAGCCAAATAAGATTTTTGTACTGGTCCAATATATGGTATTGATGAGTTGGAGAAATTGTAATAAAGGTGACTGGAAGTGGATCATTTTATTTTATTGATAAGCTTCAAATAACATGTATCTCAGCAACTGCATCATTGAGATCCCCCATGCAAACTCAGTCCCACTACTTCTCACATAATATAACAATATTTTACAACATTTCTTCTCTTCCAAATAAAATATTATTTTTACATTCATTACATTTTATTTTTTTACATTCAAAATGTAATCCCAACAGTAAAAAAAAACAAAAAAAACTAAGATTGCTTCTCCATTATCGTGGCATTGCTGTTAAATGGTCAGCTTTGAGGGATGCTGTAATCTAGTGGATAAATACCGTTATGACAGGTTACAAGTGAATAATCTGAAAGTCATTTGATTGGTCTAATTTAAAATTGTCAGATTAAAAGTTTTAGCTTGAAGTTTATAGTTTGATAATAAAAAGCAAAAACTGATTTAATTCCAAGTAAATTGTAAGCTTCTTTCCTGTTTCTTTTTAGCGTTTATATCACAGGCTTGGCGTAAATGAAATACAAATAAATATTCCTATATTTCTAATATTCAAAAGGCAATTTAGGGTACTATATCTTCTTGAGCAAGCAACTGAACAGTTCAAGAGCTTCAGTAATGTTCCAAACTTTATAGAACTGTCTGCATCATTTGATTTTAAATTCTTAGATGTTGAATTTCTAATTAAAACGTATAAGTACAGTACTAATAGATGTTACATTTATAAAATTCTTTTGTTTATCGTGAGTTACATCTTTAGAAAGTTTTACATTACAAAAAAGTAAGAGAATAACAGGTGGCGAAGGACAAGTGTGGATAACAACAGCTGTCTTTTATAGGTCTGTCCTAAAGGGATAGTTCGGGATTTTTGACATGAATCTGTATGGCATCCCCATCACCAGTGTCATGCAATCACACTGACTTACCCCTGGCAGCATCCTGTGAGCAGAGTTCTCGTCCAGCTTTGGTCAAGCCGAAAGTAGTCCGGCAGGTTTGCTAGACCCAGCGAAATAAAACGTTTCTCTTCCCAAAACATTATGTGTTCAAAAGAGCGATATTTTTGCATCCCAAAAACATTGTAGTGGAAAAAGTCACACGTCGTTATCACTTGGTCCTATTTTCTCTCTGTTCGTATCAGTGCGCGCGACACCATCAGCCAGATGCATGTCTCGCTCCGCCTAGCTCCTAGCTAGGCGGAGCGAGACATGCATCTGGCTGTTGTTGAGCTCGCTGTCAGAATGACGGCGCGCACTGATACGAACAGAGAGAAAATAGGACCAAGTGATAACAATCGACTGTATATTTTTAATTTATGTCTGAAATAAAAAGTATAGTTTTAAGATATGCTACTTTTTTTCTTTTCCACAAAAGAAACCAGGCCAAAGCTAAAACTTACCTGGACCTTCATGGGAATATATTTTATCCAGGTAAATGTTTTGGCCGACATTTAAAAAAGTCAGGTAGAAAAACACAAAGCAGCGACTAAAGAAAACTGTAGCTGCATTGAAACACGGTGGTGGAAGCTTCATGAATTAAGAGACGCTTTAAAAAATGCTGCTTTTTTTTTTTTAGAAGAATTGTATGGGACATAAGTCACATTCAAGGCAAAAAAAAAATATTTTTTAACAATATAACACTTTTTTATGCCCCCCCCCCCCCCCCCCCCCCCCAAAAAAAAAAAATACTGGAACTTTCAACAGAGACATTCTACATTCTATAAGCTCCTGCAGATGTTCAGAATAACTGTGATTAAAAAAAGCCAACATATGCCCAATTTTTCATCTTGTTTTTAAATTTAGTTTGGAATTTTATTGTATGCATAATTCACAAAGAAAAATTGCCTCTATATGTTTTTGATCATTTTAGGATGTTCACATCTTTCTGTGATTTACTGAAACTGTTTACTGCACATTTATATTTTACCTTTTTTACTGTAAACATGGAGGCTTGTATGAATGTTTAATATAAAGACATTGCTTTTGATCAACTTGCATGCAGCAATGATTTAAGTTAAAGCTTTTAGTCCACATGTGGTATACTGTCTTGTTCTGTGTGTGTGTGTCTGGGATTTCTTTATAACATAATCCATAATCTTTCAGAGTTTTTAATGTAGGCTGGGTAGACTGATAATCATTTTTGCCTCAAAGAGGGCGCCTCTCCCCTTCTGTATATCTCTGCTTCTTGACGCTCCGGGCAATCATGTGATCCGACCAAAGACCGACTCTGTTTTAAAGACCAGAGTCAAGCCACAGCAAGGCGGAAATCAGCAACACCACTTTTTTACGCTTCAAATTAAAAGCCCGAAACTTCATAGAGGGCAAAAAAAAAAAAAAAGAAGAAAAACTGTTCTTCAGGTTATCAATAGAACATGAACAAAACAATACAATACTTTACAATAAATTACTGCCCAAAAAGTGTTCTATCATAATTTGATATCTTGCTAAAGAAGCAAACATTTGTTAATTATGCTTGAAATACTACTTGTGGCTATTTGTGCTTTTATTATTTAAATTGATTTGTTTTTATATATTAATTGAATAATTCCTACTATAACTAATTCTAAACAAATTTTTCAGTAGCCTGCTTGTACTTGAGATACACATATGACCCCTAAACTAAATAGGGAAATCTGTTTGCCTTTGAGATATTATATATATATATGTATATATAAATTGTTTGTTTTGCTTTTTTGGGACATTTCAAATTACTGTTAATCTAAATCTCATCCTCACCATAGGCTAGATAGATTAAAAACATTGAAACTAGGCAGAAATGTGTAAAACTAGTATTGAAGATGGTAATAATAAAAAAAGTAATAAAGTTTTTTTTTTATTATGGGAACAACAATTTATATTTTGATTTAGTCTAAAACATGCTGATAGACAATAATTCTTAAGAAATCTTTAAGTAAACATGTTTTCTGTTCAAGGAACAAAGCAGAAAATGAACAGACCCCCAAAGGTTTTATACATTTTATTCAAATCTATTGATTTAAATCTTACTTACTTTTCTAGATCCAACAATGCAAATCAGGTCAAAGATATTTAAGTGACAGCGGAAAAAAATAAATGTTGTGTCAGAATTCAAATACCTAGGCATCCTAATAGACTCTAAATCCCAGTTCAAAAAGGTGGGAAACAGAGTTAAATTCAATATTACAAATTTCCGTTTCATCAGATAGAACTTGTCACTCCAGGCAGCTAAATGTTCATGTACAGTATGGTTCTGTCCCACATCACCTACTGTCTTACAACCTGGTCACAGGCTTAGAAAACCCACACTAAAACCTTTAGAATCTCTTTACAAACAAAGAATAAAAAATTAGGATAAAAAAAAAACATCAAAATATCACCATTGTGCCATTAAACTAAAACATAAGTTTCTAAGCTGGGAAAACGTCATCAAGTATGCAAACCTCTGTCTGTTTTACAAAATAATCCATGGTCTGTCATCTCCTCCACTCAGTCAGTTTGTGAAAATCAGGAACACGCCGACAGTAACACGAGGGTCGGCTAGAGGAGACTGTGTTGTTCCTCTGCGTAAAAGTGTTTTTAGTCAAATCACTTATTCTGTATTTTGAAGAGTTTTGAAGAGTTATAGCTGTTTTTGTTTCTTTTTATATTTTTATTTTTCATTGTAAAATGCTTACTGTTGTGTTTTTTTTAGGTAGACAATATTAACATCTGTCCAGGGGACAACAGATTCTGGTGCATTTGCAGGAATGCTTTTTTAATGTTCACATCCCTGTCAATTAAATAAATAAAATTACATTTGTGCTTTTATTGCGAAAGGTTCACCGGAAAATAGGTTGGTTATCATTGAAAGCTTTACATCGGTTCTTCATTCCCAGGGTTCCGTGAGAGCCGTTTGCCCCACCCCACCTCTTCAGCGCTATCTATCTCAATGTACAATTCTCAGAGAGAGAAAAAAAAAAACGGGGGCAAAAATAATTGAGAGAAACACCGCGAACGGATCGACTCTAACCTACCCGACCGGTTGAACGGAGCGGCCGCGGGCTATCGGCTCCGAAACCAACTGCCTATCTCCGTTTGGATGAAGTGAGTGAAAAAAAAAAGCCCCACCGCGGTATGTTCATGTATCATGCACATGTAACCATAATCTGCTGTACGGATTCAAAAGGAATACAAAAAACCCAGAGAGCTGACAGCGGACCGTGCTTCTGCTGCTGCTTGCGCCAAAACGGGGAACAGAGCGAAGGATTTCCACGGTTATCGGCCGGATATTTGGACGGTCAGACGCCGAGAGCTGCCTCTGCTCGGCCGGAGGAGGTTTCCGATGTGAGGAGAAACACAAATTAACGCCACGGAGAGAAAAGCGAAAGAATAGCGGCCTTTTTCCCCCCCTTTTCTGCTTTTTTTATTCAATCAAACAAAAAGGCCAGACAGCAGCATCTATTGACCGAAGACAGGATTGATTTTTTTTGACACAGGATATTATCAGTAAGGTTGCTCAGAGCCATCCTAAAAAAAAGAAAAAAGAAAATGTGATTTTTTTTTTTTTTGGGTGAAGAAGACCTGGTGTAGCCTGATGATTCACATGCCGTCATTTTAAGAGGACATATTTATTATTTTATTTTCTCTCCCACTCGTCCTCTATTGTTTGCAATCCTTTCGATCTACCAACCTGAATTTCTCCAGTTTTATTTAGGAGTGAATAAAAGGAGAGGCTTGAAGAACATAGCATAGTCTGCTTGAAATGGATTGAATGGCAGAGGGAGATTTCAGAAGAAGATGGGCTCCTGAGGGGACATTAGCTGAAAAAAATAGATATTTAGATCATCAACATACAGATAATAATAAAATAATCTGAGGCTGGTGTTTGAGATCCATACGCATTGAAGGAATTTGATGTGGTTCATTCATGAGCAGCCAGAAAACTGGAAATCCCACATCCACTCTCCTATCAGCATTGATGACTTCATTGCGGATTTACAGTGAAAAACACGGGAATCAAGTGTTGGAGAGGGCGGGATCCTTTTTCTGCTCTTCTCATCTCCCTTTGCTGATGGGTTTCCAGTGAATACCCACCTCCAATAATCAAGGTGAAGTCTACTACCTGGCATCTGCTTCATCTGAAGAACATACATGTCACCATTTCTGAGCTGGGTGTTCTTCTGCTGGTCCAGTTGAGGAATTTAGGGTTCAAACACATCCACCCACCTTGAACCTTTCTGTGAGCCCATCACTGGATCTGTTTGTTTGTTTGGTTTTGGGAAGATGGGCTGTCTTGGGAATAGTAAGACTGAAGACCAACGAAATGAGGAGAAGCTTCAGAGGGTGGCAAACAAAAGGATAGACAGGCAGCTGCAGAAAGACAAACAGATATACCGTGCCACTCATCGACTTCTCCTGTTAGGTAGGTGTTATTTTTGTTTTTCTCCTTCATATATAATAAAAATATCAGTTTTGTTGCCTTTTTTCTCAAATGCAGCAGTTGTTTCAGGTTGAAGCAGGGAAAATGCTGAGAGATTATTTCTGCAAGGCATTAAAAAATGATGCATCTAACACAAATTTCACCGGTTTTAGTTTTGACTCTGAGATTTTGGTATAAAATAAAGTCCTGCATTGTGGGGGTTCATTAAGGAGGCAGATAGCTGAACATGTGAGAGACAGGAGACCAGACACCACCATCTGTGTGAAGGCAGCACGCTCAGGCGCCACACAGAGACCAGGAGGCCGCTCTTACATGCTCCTTTCTCCTTCCAAAAACCCTGCTGATGATCTGCTGTTTGTGTTAACAGTCAGGGTCCTGGATGCCTTCACTTTGGTTCACTTTGATCAAATTAAATGCTCCATAATAGAAAAATATATATAAAAATCAGCTGTTTGTTATTTTTGACTTTTAGGCCTCATGATAGGGCACTTCATGCATGTTGAAGAGTTAGTATCCTGTTAAACCTCGGAGTGCAAATTAGGATTACCATTAGGATTAGTAGCTTCCCTTGAACGCCTGTGGGGCTCGTTTTTAATCTGAAACTGATCCCAGATTTGTGCACACACACATTAAAGCTGTAAATAGCAGTTTGGGGGGCGGGGAGATGCTGTTGGATTCCTAGGAAGCACACAGGGCTATTTCTGACACCAAATTCACAGTTAGCATATTGAATCAGGCTGTTTGTTTGTGTTTGTTTGATTCTTTCTGATCGGGTGTTTTCATGCTTTGGCCCATAAAACAAGCTCTCTTGGAATTAACTTTAAAAGTTTTCCTGCATCCCCTGGTCACATGGCATCAGCCAACATGCTTGAATGTGGCGGTCATGAAATACCGCTGATAATTGTTTTTTTTACCTTATGGGGCATAGTGACATTAAAGCTTATTGTTGCAAGGGTAGTTTTATCCATAATTAATTATTATTTATAAAGAAATAGAAGTAAAACGGACAATTACAGGTTATTAGTTAAAAGTTAAAGGTTAAAGTGAGTGTGATATGTGGTTTTTAGACAGATATCAAGCCAGAACCTGGGTGTTGGAGTCAGATCCAGTAGTTTTGTCTGGAAACAGATTGGGTTTTAGCATGTAGCTCAAAAACCATAAAATATATATATATATTTTTTTTTTTACCTTTTTATTTGTATATAGTTCCTTTGATACCTAAACGGTTACGGTACATTGATCTCACTAGAAGTATTTCTTGCATTGTAATAAGTAGCTTATATTACAGGCTTACCATTTGCTCTTTATAATAGTATATTTTTTTGTATTTGTTTGTATGAACTTTTTTTCTTTGTCAAGTCGGCCTTGCTTGTGTCTAACATGCAGTACAGCTGCGTAGACGAAGGACAGAGGTTTGGCTTCAGCTATGAAAAACAAAACCCTGAAGTCCAGATAATTGAAATATAAAGGATTATGATCTGATTTAAAAAAAATGCCTCATGGATTTTTTTATGCCGTATTTGTGTTAAAGCTTGTCTTGTTTTTATTTTTATTTATTAATTTTTTCTTCCTAACACCGTTTTGCCTCACCTCTTAGGGGCCGGAGAATCTGGGAAAAGTACGATAGTCAAACAGATGCGAATACTGCACGTCAATGGCTTCAACGCAGAGTAAGTGTTGCTTCTTTTTGTCCACTTTCTGTCCACATTCATGACTTTGGAAAATGACTTAATCAAAGTTTTCAAATCAATACATTGTGTATCCTTAAAATTTAGAAGATCAAGATAAACCTTCCTCACTGAATCTATAGGAGCTTTGCTTTATAGCGAAAAGTTTTTGTAAGTTTTAAAACTGCTTTATTTGATAATTGCATGGCATACATCTTTAAGTTTTGACGTCTTCTGTATTTTTGAAAAAGCAATTATTAATGAAATAGAATCCAATCACAACTGAAGTATTCCCAACTTCCCATATATGGGCATAGATCTTATTAAAGATCTTATTAAAAGAGTGGTTCATCTCAATCTAAGAAAGCATCCAAAAAAATAAAGAGATGATCCATCTTTGTAGAAATACCAAAAATCCAAATTTTTCCGATCCCACTATAACTAGGTTCTGATTAGGGGCGAGTATTGGCGTGGGTGTTACGATGCGACACGTGTCATGATACTTGGGTCATGATATAATATTATCATGATATTGCAATATTACTATATAATGCAATTTGTTTTTTTTATTTAGTTCTTTTGGTACCTATTATGTTTGGAGGGCAGAGATAGCCCATTTTCTCTCATTGCTTTAGGTAAAAAAGTTTTTTTTTTTTCTTTTAATCGATATTAGGAACAAAAAAAAAAACGATATTATAGAGGGCAGCCTAAAATCACGATATATCGCTAAATCTTTTTTTTTTTTTTTTTTTCACACCCCTAGTTCTGATGGCAATGACACGTTATTTGGTGCTGAACACGAACCGCTCAAATAAGTCTGTGTCAGAGCAGATTGATTAGGAAGTTAGGGGAAAGAGAAAGGTTTGCCCTCTAAAGGGAAGCTGTAGTTTCTAACACGTGTAGAGACATGTCGGTAATTATTACAGGAGGCGAGTGAGCGAAAGCTTTCAGCAGGTAACAGGAAGGCTGATAGTCTGACAGCAAAGTTGCTGTTTAATCCGTTTTAAACCTCTATCTGTCCTGAAATTAGCTCGGTTTGGAAACGACGGCAGGATTTTGGAAATCTAAATTAAAGTGAGGGTCTGTAACATGATGAATATGCACTGAAGCCTTTTCTTTATAAAGAAAAAAACACAGTTTTATGTGAGCTATTTAAAATTGAACAGGCTTAAAACAGCTTTAAATGTTTTCCTAATTTATTTTTAAATCTAAAGTAAAACTGTTTCACAGGGATTATGTTCTTTCACACAGTATGATGCTTTCTATTTAAATAATTCCTGGACATGCATGGCAGGAAGGGTTGGAAACATTATATCACAGATCTTAAAAAGAAATCAAAACCCAGAGATCCGAAATGGGACTCCAGTTTTAACTGCTGCATTTGTATGTTGAACCCATTTTAGAGTCCGAGGCTCAAATATGAAGGAGGTGAAAAAAGGTTGCTGTGCTTTTTGAGCTGAATTTTACTGCGGATTATTGTGTTTGTTGTATTTCTTTTTTGTTTACAAATAAGGTTTAATAAGATTTTTTTAATGCTTCTGATTTTAGTCAGTTTTAAGTGTATGGGTAAAACAATTACAATGGGATTGATTGTCTCTGTGGCGTGCAAACATCCAGGAACACTCCACACTTTTTATTTAGTCCCTATCATGCTTTCAAACATTCATCTTGCCGCTGGGTGCCGAGCAGACGCCCTTGTCTTGTGAGTTTCCTAAAACTTGATCCATTGTTGATGTGAGGGAAACAAGTCCTTTTTTTATTCTTAAAGCTAGATCTGATTCCTAGAAAGCTTTTTTTTGTTTTTTTGAGGGAAGGTCAAAATCATGTGGTTGTTGTCAGGTCATGCTGAAACCAGTGAGTGGGATAAAAGCAGTGACATCAAGTTAGAATGCGTTTGAAGTGTGTCTGTAACCCAGAGGGTGTACTCAGTATTTGTAATATTAATCACAGAATTAACAAAATAAAATAAAAAAATGTCAGAAAAGCAAAAAAAAGGGAAAAATCCATGTCAAGACCTCTTAACAGTTTTAATACTCCGATAAAATGTTTGAAAGAACAGTTCTCAATAGGAAATAGGAAGGGTTGTTGTGCAGCGATACATTTAAGTAGCTTTTTTTAAGTTACGTATGAATTAGTATGACATGAATCAAAAATTAAGTTATTAAAATAAAGTTCAATAAATTATATGCAGCTCTCACAGACTTTATTTGACAACCTGCTTCTGATTATGGAAATGTATAACATCATAAGAGGTTACCCTATTGTAGATTATCTTTTTTATCAAAAGATAAAGATATGCTTTGACTTATACTCTGTTCTGTGCATTTTAGAAAAATAAACAGCTAATTGAATGAAAACAGTTTATATAGATGTAGCGATAAAGAACAGTTTATTTTTAAAGAAACATTTTCAAGTAATTTGTCATTCAGTTGTATTTGGAAATCTAAAGACAACTTGTTTCTAAATACTAATGCAAAGTTTTTTTTCCGTCTGTGTTTAAAAATGAAGCTTCAAAGAGAGATTTTCTTTGAGAATATTAAGTTGGATTTGCTTACTTGAGGAAGTAAGGTTTGAAAAGCATTATAAAAATGTTTTCAGATTTAAATGTGAAACATTCTGGATTATTTTACTTAAAAAATTAGTATAAAAAAGTTTTTGTTAAAAAAAAAATCTCAAATTTCTAAACTCTAGATTATTTTCCATGGATCCATTTCCTTTTCTCCTGAGGTGTTTTATTTTTTTTGTCAGATTTATTTATAGATCAATATGTCTTAAATCTCTAAACTGAACATGAAGCGGGACAGTGGGACTTTATTGTGAAAATAAGCGGCATCATGCAGCCTGTTTATGGTCACACTTTTTTAGCTAAGACAAAATTTCAGCCTAGAAATAAAATATTTATTTTGAAAACTCATCATCCAACTGTGTTTATTGTTAGATGTTGATCAGTTTTCTGTTTGTTTCAAATATTTACTAATTAAAAATAAAAATGTTCAATACACCAGATGGATTTAAATAAATAAAAAAATCAAAATGTAATTGGCTTTGTTCATTGCTCTATGCCTTTATAGTTTGATCCAAAAAAAACAAAATCTAAAAAAAATGCATCCACAGGAATTTCCATTGCCTGATGTTAAACAGTTGTTGCATCTATGAAGCTCATAATCACGCTTTGTATGGCAAAACATGGAAATTATACTTTAGCTTTTATTTAGCATTTCTAATTTTTAAAAACTTTTAAAAAATCACCCCCCCAAGAAATGTACGAATATTCTTCTCCAATATCCCCCTATGCTTACTCTGCTTGTTTTTTTTTTTGTTTTTGTTTTTTTTGTTTGTTGGTGTTTTTAATAAATGGGGTTGTCAAAATTAAGGCCAGCTTCGGCTGTTCTCTTTTCACGTCAGCAAACAGAAAATTCTGAGGTTGCTGTTGCTCAGCAAAATAAGTGTCTGTGCTTCTGGGGCAGCCATAACACTGATGTCAGGTATAATTTACCTCCAGGCTGGTGAAGAGATCCAGGAGAACTTTGTATTATGCAGCACATTCACACTGAATCCCGCTGGCACTAATACAAAAGAAACAAACATCATTCTGGAGTTAGAGACAAATTTTCCCTTCAAACAGTCTTTTTTTTTTTTTTTTGTAGAAAAAAAGATTGCGTGGCGCTTTGATTTCTATATTTGGGCTTTTTAAGGTGATTAATTCCATACAATAAAAATGACTAATTCATGTAGATGCTGAGTCCTCTGCACGGCTCTTTTCTAGAAACATAACAATAAGCTGACGTGTATTCTTTGTTCTTCACAGGGAGAAAAAACAGAAAATTCATGATATTAAAAACAACATAAAAGAAGCTATAGAGGTAAGAAGTTGTTCTTTGAAGTGTGACATTAGCATTGATATTATGTGATGTTTTGGATCAAGTTGTGCTTTATTATTTTCTTCTGCTCTCTCCACCCAGACAATCGTGGCTGCCATGAACACACTCACGCCTCCGTGCCAGTTAGCGTGTCCTGCGAACCAGTTCCGGGTCAATTATGTCCTGGGCCTAGTAAATCAGAAGGACTTTGATTTCCCTACGGTAAGTTGAGAGGCAAACTTTCTACATGTGTACATGCTCCTATGCCAAGCTGCGTAGGATTCAGAAAAATAAAAACACCAAATCAATCTTTGATTCTTAGATAACTTGAGAAAGTCTGAAAATAAGGGATTTATATTGAAATAGTAATAGAGATTAAGCGGAGGTATGTATCTAAACCAACTAGGGCTGCAACAACGAATCGATAAAATCGATAAAAATCGACTTTTAAAAGCGTTGGCAACGAATTTAATCATCGATTAGTTGTGTCGCGCGATTAATGCGTCATCCGCCGCCGCCGTCATCCCGGGGAAGAAAAAAAAATATGGCGGAGCGAGTCAGCGCCGCAGTTGCAGTGTTGCCAACTCAGCGACTTTTCAGACCCCTCCAGCGACTATTTTTTTAAAAAGCGACTAGCGACAAATCTGGCGACTTTTTACGGTGTCACTGGCGGCTTTTGGAGATTCTTACGTGAAAGCATGTATCGTTCCTACTCTTGTCCTCCAGCGGCAGCTGCTGCCGTGGGGCGCCTCCCCCATCCCAACGCCTTTCTCCCTCTCCCACAAGAATCCCTCTCAGCGCTGCAGTCCGAGCCGCAGGATTTTAGTGAGGAGTTTATCCTCAGCTTCCAGACTGCAAATGAAGCGCGCATGCCCCGGGATTGACGGCGCAAATTGATCACAATAATTAAAATAGCCTGCGCTTTGTAAAGTGAAAAAAGTCGTAACATGCAACTTTTGTAAAAACAAATAAACATGGCACGGAAGCACCACTGTTATGACGCAGCACCTGAAAAGAAAACATGTTGGAGCCTTCAATGGCAGTGAAGAGAGCTGATCAGCAGGATGAGTAACCATGTTTGTTTCATTTTAAAGTGGGGAAACGTAAGTTAGTTTCTCAGGTAGCTCATCTGATGCTTTCCTTACCGTGTTAGTAGGTTACAGACAGTGATAAGGTTGGCTACTTATTTTACTTTTAATTTCATTTGAATTAGCTTAAGCAGCGTTTATATTTACTTTATAAATAAATTAATTTGCAAATTATGAGGGCAAGGCTTTTAAAGTTTAAATCTTCTCGCAAAGATAAAGTAAAGAAGATCCTGCAATTTATGGAAGTAAAGCAGAATAAAATCCAGCAAGATCAGTAATATGTCAATTAATTATATGCCACATTCCCATGGAAATATCTGTCTTTGGAGGATGTGTTTTTTTTACCACCCCTAGTTCTCTCATTTTTATTCCAAATACAATTTATAATTTGAATCACAGGGCTATTTTTATCTCTATGGTTCAGTATTTTCTCAAGTAGCAACTTTAACTGCTATACTTTCCTGTCTTAAAAGGCAGAACTCTATTAGTCTAAAAAAAACCTCATTTGTTGAAATGGGGGGGCCTATTGTTTGAACCCCTTAGGGGCTTTAAAAAACAAAAATGTCTGTCTCTTTTTGCGCTTTATGAAACAAAGTACTCTATATTTTGTGGATGTACAGCTACATTTCTCATGTAAGTTTGCGTAGTTTTAAAACAAACATTTATTTTTCATATTGCACCAGGACAGTTAATGAGCAACCTGTACTTGTGTGCTTGTTTGTTCTGAATAAAATGTTTATTTTGGAATAAAGAGGTTAATATAAAAAAAAATATTTTGTGTCCGATTCATCGATTAATCGAAAAAATAATCGGCCGATTCATCGATTTTTAAAATAATCGTTAGTTGCAGCCCTAAAACCAACACTACCCTATGTAATATGAGTGTTAATCACTGATGCTGATTCGCTAGCCCTAAAGTTCATGAGTCGGACCACCTGCTTCAATCAATTCATTGGGTTTGTCAAACAACGCAATCAGCAATTGCAGTTTGAGAAAAATGAGGCTGTGCCACCTTTATGTCCGACAAACATTGTTGGACAGCGCCAATTCACAGCATGTCATCTCAAGGCACTTTATAGATTGCCAGATCATGCAGTCAAATTGATTCAAAGTTTTCTAACTAAGGAAAAACAGTGGATTGCATCGACTCATTGACTCGAATGCAATCTCCCACACTAAGCATGCTTGTAGCGACAGTGGAGAGGAAAAACTCCCTTTTAACAGGAAGAAGCCTCCAGCAGAACCAGGCTCAGTGTGATCAGCCATCTGCTGAGGCCGACTGGGGTTCAAGGAGACAGAAGTAGAGATACAAAAGTAACTGTAAGAGGCGGCCCCGTCCAGGAAACACACAGCCAGGCGGAGGAGCACTGAGCCAACTCCCATATCAAGGGATGAAGAGAGAACATCCTGCCTTTCACAGTCAGAGAAACAGGACTACACTGAAAAACAGGCCGATCTCCAACACCTCTAAACAAAGGGTGTTGATGACAGCAGCACAGCTGATATTTCTCTTCAGGATGGTGTCACAGCCAAACAGGAACAGACGAGGCAAAGCTACTATGAGAAAAAGCTGCAAGACTCTGTCTCGGCATCATTCCGGGTCGTACTATACTCTTTTGATACCTTTAATTGTTAATAGGCTGAGAAGAAGTTTGTGAATCGCAAAGCTGCAAAACCCGTAAAATGAGTCAGCTGACTGTAAATAGGAAGATGACGCGGTCTGCTCATGCGCTTTTTGTTATCATAGAACCAAGCCACAACTGAACCGTGCCGAGCCCTACCGTTGAACTACTACTAGATTTAGCGCATTTCAGTTGTGTCTGTCACGTTGCACGTTGCAGTTCAGTTGCATTCCATTTACACTCATCAGTTATCTATAGGTTACCGTGCTCGGACCGTTCTTGGCACGGTTTCAAAACGGTAGTGTAAATGGGGATATAGATAGATTGTGCAAAGACATCGGGGGAAAAAATTGTTTAAATGTTACCAGTTGGGCCAATTCAATCCTGACCCCCTTAGCGTTAAGAGGCCGGAATACAGTTTTACATTCCCAAAGCCTAACAGGAGTCGTGGGCCGGTCAACAGGAGCGAGAGCATATAAGAGTCAGTCAAATACATTTCTTTAATTTGGGGGAAAGTTGAAGGAAACTGGTCCAAAAGGTTTCAACTCCAGAAAATTAAATCTACCTGCTGAATTCTCCATGTATTCAGGCCAGTCCTCCTATAGGTGAGTAAAATGTCTCACACCCCTTGTTTGCAAGGCGTTTCAGTAATTAGCTGCTGTGCTTCCACGTGGGACGCTTTAACTGAATGAGCCTCTCACCTGAGAGATCCGAGCCACTGATTATCATTAATAAACTTAACAATGTCCAGAGGGATGCAGGTAACAGAAACACAAGGGCGCTGAGGGACTCCACCCGGGGATTACTCTGCTCCTGCCGCCATGACAGGCACTTCGTGCAGGTCCCACTGCTCGGGCCACATCTTCTTGTTTTTGCCAAGGGAAGTTTCCTGATGTTGCCTCCGTTACGTCATGGCAAATTTATTATGTTTGCCTGTCTCACGCTGACTCTCCCCTCTGCCTTTTGTCAGTCGACGAGCAGAGTTTAGCTGCTTACCTGCAGGGTTATGATTGAAAGGAGGACTACTACTTAGTATTTTTTTTTTTATCTGAAGAATGACGTCGGTTGCATGTATACAAATGGTGATCATTCAGCTGTCGTTGTTGGATTACTGTCCGACTTGATTAAATGTTTAAAAACTGTTACTAGAACAGTAAAACTTTATGGATTGTGGAGGGAAGAAAGAATCAGAAAACTTTGTGATAGGCCAGGTTCCTCCTACTTCTTCTCATCTGTGTACTCCTCTTCCCGCTCCCCATTGCCAGGCCTTAGGGCATACTGGAAACCAGTTGAACTGGTTGGCTCTGCCTTCAGCAGGGGAGGAAGAGAGGAAGGCCTAAAGCACTGTGGCTGTTTAACATATTTGTAATCCTCCTTTAAATTTCCCTGGAAACTGCAACCCTCATCAATAATCTCAGTAGTTCACGTTCTCATTCACAAACATTTGATAATTTTTCTAAATGCAAAGTCGCAGGTTTAGAATATTTTCTGGCAACTTATTTTCCACCGATTGTCAGTCTCGACTCTAGATCCTTGCCCCCATACAAAATAAGGCAATCACGGTTTTAAAAACTGGGAGTTATCAGGCAGAGAAACAGCACAGACAGGTATTGCATGAGTGTGTACAGTCAAAACTGCATGTTGAACAGCAACAATGTCTGTAAACCCTCATTTGGTTATAAGAAATACAGAGTGATCTTTGGAAAACATCTCGAAAAAGATATTTAGTGCGAAGTGTCTCGTTCATTGCATTTTTAAAAACTGATTGCACTGGAGTCTCCGATAAAACTCATTCATTTTTCTGTGACAGCAATTTGCAAGGGTTTTGAAATCACCCATTTTATGCACTAAAACTGCATTAGAGGCCGTGCACATTAATATTTTATATTTATGAATCTGGGTTTTTATTCTTTTTTGATGGCTAAAGGGCAATTGAGACTATTCGCTCTTAGGGTTTCTTTTGTGTCTGGTTTGTGTAATCTGCTATCCTACAGACACCTTTTTATTTCAGGGCTATGCAGAGGGCAGCTGATGATCAAAGCACAAATTTTAGAAATGCGGTCAATTATCAACAGTCACAACCAAACAAGATCAAACATACAAGCTTTAAACCTGATGTGTTAGAGACATATAGTCTGGGTACGGCACTATTAGGCTGGTGAGTATTTTGATTGTATCTTAGACCCTGTCCAAACGAAGCTTGTTTTGGGTACCGGTATATACAACAAACTTCTTGGTCCTTGGCTGGTCCCATCCAGATGAAGCAGCTATCAAACCGACTTTATATGAAACCTGTTCCCAAAGTGGATATGCATGAGCATTTCCATCCGCACAACCACCAGCTTGTAGCTGGCTAATATTTGAAAGTGTAGAAATTAATAAATCTTTCAAAGTGATTTAACATTCACAAAAACACTATTGCCTCAATATTGAGGCACAATCACACAACCATCAAAAGTTTTGTTGTAAATAGTCAACATTATCTTCAGAAACAATAGAATTAGAGAAGAAT